CGGAGCACAGCGAGGCCGGGGCCGGCCCTTCCCCGAGGGACGGGAACCTGCTGCAGTCCCCGACGGGGAATCCCCGAACCCCGCCCAGCCACCTCAGGGCTGTCCCTGCTGTCTGGGGCTGTTTTAGTCTAAGCGTGTGCGACTTGGGCCTGCCCCGTCCTGAGGAAACAAGTCGGTAACAAACATCAGTCCATGAGTAAATGGGGGTTTGTTAAAGTTCCTAACAAACATCAGTCCATGAGTAAATGGGGGTTTGTTAAAGGCCATGGCGTGACAAAACCTTCTCGGATATTTCCACAATATAAAGCCCCCAGGGACACTGGGATGTCAAAGCTCAGGTCCGCATTTGAGCCTGTCATGTGCTAAAATGTTCGTCACCCTAGAGCGGCAGGAATAGCTGCTTCTGTACGGATCCTGTTCAGAGGAAGCAGGCAAATTTTCACCCAAAATATTTAATCACAGAACCCCAGACTGGTTTGGGTTGGAGGGATCTTAAAGCCCATCCCACTCTGCCCTCTGCCATGGGCAGGGACACCTTCCACTATCCCAGGTCGCCCAGAGCCCCATCCAGCCTGGCTTTGGGTACTGCCAGGGATGGGGCAGCCACAGCTGCTCTGGGCAACCTGTGCTGATGAAAACAACACTGTGGTCAACAACTCCAATTCACTCAGTGAAAGCTGAGTGAGAAAAATAGTGCCTAAGAAGATATGTTTTAGTTCCTGTGCAGAGAAGCCTGATCTACGCATACAAAAATCCTTCCAAAAAGAGATTATTAAGACACCTGCCATATATGACGGTCACCAACATTCTGTGATGGGCTTGATGCAAAACAATAAGATACTACAGAGTGAGCTCCAGAGATCTGAAAAGTCTTTGAGGGAGACTCTGTAAGACAAATTACACCTAATACTTATTTTGTCTCTGTAAGACAAAATTACTCATTAAAAAATAGATACAGTAAGACAGTAGCTGAAATAAACAGTTTGCAGTGTGTTGGAGTACAGCAAATTCATAAGAGCCTTAATTCCCCAAATAATCTGAGTGGAATAAATATACATTATGATTTCCTGGGTGATGCTACAGTAATAGGCTGTTTCAAGGATGCAACTACAAGGAAAGAGTTAATTTAATAATTCATATAACCAGAGCTATTAAATATTCCCTAGTTTAGCTATGAAAGCAGCTGCAAAATGCAGTGTCACGTGCATGGCCACGTGCAATGGAAATTTCCTACCACAACAATACCTCTGGCAGCAGAAGAGAGCAGCCTTCACAGCCTTCCTTCTGTCCAGAAGGTATGTCTGCTGTGGCAGCTGACAGCTAGGAAAGTGAGCCTGCATCTTCATGCTGGTCAATCCTTTATGTTCCTGCATCTATCAGACTTCAGAGGAAAGCTGAAAGGAAGTTCACTTTTTAAATGTATTAAATATTTCATTAAAGACAGAAACAGTTGTTATGTTGGTGATTTTTTTTGGGGGGGGGAGGGGGGTTTGTTTGAGGTTTTTTGTTTGTTTTTGTTGTTGTTTGGATTTCTTAATTATAAGAGCTTTTTACCTTAATTCCACAGTTTTTAATTGATGTTACAGTTCCATAGTATTAGATGTTGTTTTGCTGTCTCTCTGAAATTTACACTGACAGTATTACATCACAGCTAATAATAGATGCTGTGGTTTTCAATATTAAGGCATCTGCACTTTTTAACATTATTGTTAAAAAAAGGGAAGTGGGGTGTAATTTGAGAGCAGCTCGGTGGTGCTCACTATTATTGAATCAGGAAATGCAGTGGCAGCCCTGGTGTGCTATCTTTGTGATGGAAATGACTCCTATGATGACATTTGGGTATTTTATTTTAAGCTTGAGGCAACTCACAAGGTTACCTGTATGTGCAAAATTCACAAGTGTCAAGAGAGGAACTTTTACTGATTTGAAGTGGTAAATACAAGAATGGAAATATCAGAACTGGTGAATAGAAGAAAGTCGTGGCAAGCAGTGACAGTGCAGAGGTTAATTTACCTTTTATTATATTGTACCTTCGAGGCAATTTTCTTCCAGCATGTGCGAATGTAAACACTGCACAGTCCTTGGCATGAGTTGGAAGTTAAGCTTTGTAATGTTCATTTTACAGATGAGTAAACCTCTTGTACGGTGCTTGAAGGGGGGAGACAAGGGGGGTTCTACTGCACAGTGCTGAAAGAAGTGGTTTGTATAAGACACACGGACACAACACA